TAAAAGACATGAACAGACTCAATTACCCTTAATAATAGCCCAAATACAATTTATGTTTTTAAAAAGAAAAAATATGACATTACTCCTGCACGACCACCACCCCAAACAAGTTGCCGCCTACACCAGTCCCCATTAACAATTGTCGCCGCTTTCAGTTACCACCGCCGCTGTAAGTTGCCACCGCCGTCGTCGTCACCACTGCACCGCCGTCGCTGTCGCCACTGCACCGCCGCTGCTGCTTGATGCTTCCGTCACTGGAGGCCGACTATCTCCATTGCCGCCGCCACTTCCGGTATCGCCACCGCCACTTCCGACGTCGCCACCATTACCTCATCCGGTGGCACCGCCATCCCCATCCAATGTTGTCGCCGCCCTCAGTTTGCACCACCTCCTCATACATCGTGGAAGCTGTGTCTTGATGTGGATCTGAATGCAATGTTTTCAAAAACACAAAAATTGACTAATAGTGTCATCTTAAGGACTTATCAACTAATAACAAATTATCTTCGATGTCATGGCACTTGATGGAGTATATGGCCTAGGGACCCCCAGCCCATAGACTCCTACTACTCTAATCAAGGCCCAATAGACCCAGGAAGCACAACAGGCCCAAATCACAGCGTCCCGAGTACCAAGCAGCCAACAATACACACTGGGGGTGCCTTCGGCCCCTTGGCCGAAGGCTCCTGATACTCACAGAAAGGCTATTTCTAGCATACAAAGTTACTGGGAGAAAATGGCAAAAAACAGTAGCCCTCGGCACCTGGAACCCCTCGGCCTTAAGGGGCCTTCAACAGGAAGAGCCCTCGGCTAATCACCTACAGCCGAGGGTACCTTCCCTGACAAGAGTATCCTCTCCACATGCGCCTGGGTCGCCGTACCAAGTACAACGTCACATCCAACCGCCGCATTAAATGCGGCCACATGCGAATGCCAGTGACACCCGGTTGATGTGACCCTCGGCCGTTGGATGGATGACACGTGTCCCCTTCTCACATTTATTGCTACTATAAATAGCACTCCATTTCCCCTTTGTAAACCAGATTCGGAATACACTTTTCACTCATATATTCAATACACTTTCTCTCTCTTGCTTGCTCTGACTTCTCTCTAGTTACTCCCCGCAGTAACCCTTCGGATACATACCCCCGGGTAGACTATCCATCAGCTCTAATTGTCAAAAACATGTTATTATAACTTTGTGATGGCATTAATTACCAAAAACATGATACTTCATTGCCATCTTAAAATGGCAATATAAGAGAAAACTTAATCTATTTTTTTTAAAATAGCAAAATCGAGATAATTTTTAAAATAGATCCAAATTCTTGATGTAAGTAATTTTTTGAGTTTCATGATTTTCAATCCAAAGTTACTTATCCAAAATAGCATAACTTTCATTTTGAATCTCAAAATTAAACATGTGAAGCAATAGAAAATAGCAAATTTTTCAAAAGAAAAAAACATAGGCTAGAGTGAGGATGGAGGAGAAGATGATGGAGGATGGAGGAGGTGAAGAAGGTGGAGGAGGAAGATGATACTTACCAAAGAAACTGGTATATGCAATGGCCGACATCCGATAATCGCCTCCGCGGAACTTCCGGCTGACACCACGCGGTCTAGAACCACCTTTTGCCCCTCCACACATCATTGCAGCTCCACTGCAGCAAGGTCCATAATTTCTGAACCGTCACTATTTGAATTCATAATGTTATTCGTCGTTGGATTAGGCCGCCAGAGAGAGAGGTTGGCTTCCAGTTTTGAAATACTCAAGAAAGGGAATTAAAGAAGATAGTGGACATGTGAGGGGATGATCAGTATGACAGAAGGAAAAGATGGGAAAGGGTGGGTTGGCTTTGTGCGTGACAGATACTGGGTTGCATGTGACAGCTTATGAGGAAGAATTAGTCATTAAATGTGCGAAGGGTAAATTCGGAAAAAGAAACGACTGTCAAATTAATAGGTCCTATTTTCGGAATAAATCAATAGAACTCCTATTTTGGAACATCTTTATTATTTTACTCCTATTTAGGGTAAATACTTAAATAAATATGGAAAAGCAATAAGCAAATCGCCAATTAACACTTAACAATGCAAATGCTCAATAGTAATCTTAAAAATACACAAATCTGGACAAGAAAAAAATCACGTCAGACATTGCAAGGGTTAGTTTTCATTGATGGGATAAATGCGTTGGCGGCGGCGCAAATTTGGATGTAGTCGTCGGCGTCCAAAAGAGCTCTGGCGGCAGGGTGGCCGGTGGTGGCAGGCGGCATGCACAACAACGGGCTGGAACCTGCAAGGGTATTTTTGTCCAATCCCTAAAAAACTCCTATTTTGAAAATTTTCAAATATTACTCATACTTTGAGAATTATCTCATAATCTTCAAAAACTTAAAAATTATACTCGTAAGAGTGAACATGAGTTAGGGTACTTTGAGTATGCAGAATAAGTTTGTACCAATGGCTTAGGGTCCATTTGCAAGACATTTTTTTGGAAGAATTTGGCTTAAATTGAAATCCCAACATTCAGATAATGGGTAATCTGACAAATAGAATCCTGACAACCGCTGTCCCGCGAACCAGACTCAGAGTTAATCACCTCATCCAAAGCAATATAACTCGCTGATCCATTAATGGGCGCAAATGAGCCAAAAACGGTTACCCTAATTCCACTGTCACCCACATCCAAATTCAATGTCTTACCAACAAAAATCATAATAGCAAACCAAAATGAAAAAAAAATAGAACAGTCTGAAAAGTTAAAGAAGCTAAAATAAAAAATAATAGTCTGCCTCCCAATCTGCTTGCTCTGCACCCTTATCAAGATTCCTGGCCTCTGGTTCTTAGTCTTCATAGGCGGGCCTACTGCTCGAAACCCGCCTCCTCCCCGTTTTTTGTCCCATCCAGTGCCATATTTTCTTTCCCTTGCAGATCATCTTCCTGTGTCTCCCAGAGCCTCCTACGCTTTTGTTCTCTTGCGCCTTCTTCCTTATTCTCACCTCCTACACCTTTTGTTGCTGTTTTGACTCAACCCCTGATTCTTTTCTCCCGACTCTCATCCTATCCTCGGTTTTAGCCCCTTCCCCGTACCCCTGGTCCCTGCCAGAGCTCGATGAACCCTCCAACAACCATTGGTTTCCCCTGTAGGACTCGTCTTCCATCCAATACCTACTCTGAGATGAACTCCAAACTTTTTCTCCAAAACCAGGTCTTCTTTGTAGTTCAAGTGTCAAAATTTGTCTGAGTGACCAATTAATCCACAAATAAAATAGAAGTTTGGCAATCTCTCATATTTAAAATCAACCCAGTAACTTTTGCCATCCTTCTTCAGATTAGTACCTCTTTTCAAAAAAAAAAAATCCACATTCATACACACTCGTATTCTCATATAGGCCTCCCACTTTTCACCATTCTGATTATCAACGTATTTTATAAATTTTCCTATAAAATTGTCAACTTTCCTGGCTGTACCTAAATTAACCAAGCTATAAGGCACATTATGAACCTGGACCCAGAAATCAACCTCATTCACGACAATTTTGTGAGGAATATCACCAGGTTTAACCTCTTTTAATAATAATAAATTTTTCTCAGGTCCTCCATCTAAAACACGATTCATATCTAATCGGTGATAAAAAGTAAACAGATACCTTTCCTCCCCAACTTCTTTGACTGATAGGCCTTTACCTGGTCTCCATAGTGACACTACCATCTCCTTTATCGCCGAAAATCAGACTTTTCGGTCTGTCAGAGTGCCAGGGAAGCCCGGCTTGTTCTCCTCCTTCGGCCCCTTGCTCGCTTCCGTATCATCGAGATCCAGCTCTTCCTCCTCCTCCTCCAAAGCCATCTGTCTGTACTTGTCCACTACGCTTTCCATACAGTCGCCCCTGCTCCTTCCTATACTCAGTAAACACGATCACTTGAACCCCTCCCAAAACGAAACCAAAGCCTGCCCTTCCAAATCGTCCGAAGCCAACTCGCCGAATGAATCAAAATCCAAATAGGTACACACCGACGTTTCGAGAACGAAGCTTGGCAACAAAAACCTCGCTTCGCACGGACTCCTGGCACTGGCCTGGTTGAATCCGGCGGCGGCGGAAAGCCCTAGGCGTTACCGATGGGTAACCCTAGAGAGAAGCAATCCCCCTTGGATTAGTTGTTAAAAAATAGTTCCACACTTCCATTTGCAAGAGCTTAAAAACGCTTCTCGGCTTTTGGTTTAAAAAAATTAAAATTAGTGTTTTCAATTGACAACTTTTACTTAAAAAAGCATTTCTCGGCTTTTGGCTGAAAAATGCTTTTTACTTTTTCTATTACACAAAAAACATATATTTTACCAAACGTTACCGATTTTCACTTTTAAAAATCACTTTTATCTCAAACACGATCAACTCTTAATATTAATAACTTTTTCCAAAAAAATAATATTAATATTATTAATATTAATAACTTTTTAATATTAATAACTATTAATAACTTTTTCCCAAATCACTTGAAAAAGTGTTTTTTCAGGAAAAACATTTGGAAAGAGTCCCTTAAATTGTTTCGCCCTTCTCCGTTCAACCAGACGGATTCCTACTACTCCTACCTAGACCATTGTTTCCGTCCCACTAGAAGGTTCTCACTTTCCTTTTTTGGACGTCCTAGAAGGTTCACATTTCCATTTTAGGAAATAGTTAACAATCTTAAGTGAAAAATTAATCATTAAATATTAAAAATAATACATTTATAACATCACAGTTATCAATATTAACTACATTATAATATATACCTATTAAAATTATTTCTCAAAATATACTCGAAGTACTTTATTTAATTATTTCCTAAATAACTGTGCTATTTTGCTATGGAAACCTTCAAACGGGACAGAGGTAGTACCAATTTACAGCTACAAAAATTATCTTTCTTCTTCATAGTTTAGGTTTGTTTCATGTGAAAACTGATGTTTAGATTCCATATGTTTAGTACGGAGTATTGTTGTTAGCTCACAGTTAGACGGAATACATTAGATTAGATAATGTGTACATTTATAGCTAGAAAAGCACGTACTATAACTTCAATTCAGGCAGGCTAACAAAAAATGATCGATATAGTTGAGACGTCAAATGGTATGTGATTTGGAACGTGGGAATTGAAGTAGTAAGACTAGGAACTCACATTCAAGATTTGGTATGTGATATATCAAATCAAGATTTTTTTTTTTTTGAGGAGACGTTCATTGATACATATATATCAAATACATCACGTAGCTAGCTAAGCTGGATGAACATCCTACTATCCTTGCTCAAAGCTGCTAGTACGTACTGGACTTGTTCATTATGATCGATCTGCTGCTACCCGAAAAAGTACTTAGCTTTGATTCGAGATAGTAGCTTTATTTATTTTTCACTACACGATTTTACAACATTATTGCTGAAAATGACACAAAAGCAAGATGACATGCGTCTTATTTTGGAAATTTGGATCCCACTCTGCCGGCCAGGCCCTTATTTGTACCACACTGTTCGTACATATCATCACATTCATGCGTGAAACTTGTCCCTCACCAAGTTACGAGCAAACCTGCAACATGTAAAGCCAACGATCATCGTTATCATTACCCCAGCGCCTCGAAGGCTCCCACCTACAATGGGGTAAGGGGGTCGGATCTACGCAGTGTTACCCCTGTACTAAAGCACAGAGAAACAGTTTCCGGATGACCTATAGTGAAAATTGCGTCGAAAATTGCATGGACTGACTGTTGGTTCATAACAAAGAATTGCACACAGTTTAATGAACCATTTTGCTCTATTCCATCATATTTCCAAGACAAAAAATAGTGAGTTTTTGGTTTAACTAAATTTTATGTTTAGCACTTTAACTAGCTAGGAAGGGGCTATATATACACACACACTATACTAGGCTGAGATCCAATAACTCAAATTTAGAAACAAACTTTGATTTGATGTTTAAAAAGGTTACGTAAAACTTATATATTTAAATAATTCTTTATACCGAGCCAAACTCATTTCACCATAGTATAAAGTTAAACATAGGGTTGATTAGGTACTTACGAAATGAGAGCCTCTTCGTTTGTGAGCTCAAGAGTGTTGGGACCGGTCAGACTGGAAACGGGATCCTTAAGCAGATCATTAGCAAACTGTTCCAACTTTTGAAGATAATCTTTGCTACCGTCATCAACCAGACATTCATTATATTTCAGCCCTTGGTATTCGATTCTAAGAAAATTTTCCGGGCCGGAAGTGGCTCCGTCACCAAAGAGAAGAGAAGTGTAAGTGTCAACCATACTAGAATTGCCACTCATGAAAACATCAGTGATGCGAGGAGTGTTATCCGGAAACAACAACCACCTGACGGCGCCCCAACTACTAGTGTCGCCGACTTCAGCCATTTCAGTGCCTGTACATGACCCTGTCCCCAATGATAGGATCCTGAAATTCTCTGGCAGTGGACGGACATTATAAGCTTTTGCTGCCTCCGATATAGCCACCAGCACCTGATCGATCATTGAAGGCAAACTCTCAATCTAAAATAAGTACCTTCAACTTATTTTATCTTTTATTCGAATTTAATAAATTCTACAGAGTAGTCTATACTCCTTCCGTCCGGCTAAAATTATCTTATATTATATTTTCGATCGGTTCAGCCCACTAAGATTGTGTCATACTCCCTCCGTCCCTTAAAGCTTTGTCATCTTTCCTTTTTAGGACGTCCAAAAAAACTTTGTCATTTTCCCTTTTTATCAATTATTTTGTGGTTTCTGTTATTTCTCTCCCCTGCACAAATCTCAACCATACAGTTTTTACTTTATTATTCTCTGTGCCGATCAACTTTGACAAAGTTTTAAGCGACGGAGGTAGTACCAAATTTGGTAAAATTTGCGTGGTTGTAATCATTCTTACTTTATTATTATTATTATTTTATCAATTCAATATTAACTACATAGACCCACTTTCACCACCCCTCATGTTCAAATGTTAGTGGAACGGAGGTAGTACTTTATAGTAAGAGCTTTTTTTCCAAAGTAATTATAGAAATAAAATTTATAGATAAAATATGACTAAAGTTGCTATGAGTATATATAACATCGGGCACTTACAAGTTGGACACCTGTAAGTGCCCGATGACCCGGTAAAAAGTGAACATAAAAAGATTCACTAAAAATACACTACACTCGAGAGGTTGCATTTTTGTTCTCTGCTTTATTAGTTTTTATAATAAATCAAGGATACTCTTATTTTTGCATACATGATAATGTTTTAATTATTGTTTTTGTATAAATTTCTTATAAAGCGTTGTTACGTACAGGATTGTTGGCGACAACTCCGCCATCGACCAGGTTGAACTTCTCAATCCCTTGAGATGATTGCAGCTCAAAGCTATGAGGAGGTAAGTAAATTGGTGCTGCTGACGTGGCAATGCAAACATCTGTGAGTTTTGGGTTCTTTGACGCCTCCTTCCTTGCCTACAATTCAATTGATTAATTAAAGGAAGGGATAAATACCTCAGTATTACTAAAACTCAAGAATTTTCTTAAAATATGACTATACACGTGTTTGTATGTAATATATGACCAAACACATACATGGGGTGCTTACCATACGTAACTACTTCCTTATTGATAGTGCTGTTATCATTTATGGAGCATGACATTAGGATGTTAGATTAGGAATAAAACTAGTGAAGTCATATATTGGGAAAGATATACCGTTTTAGTAATATTAGTAATAATTATCTCAAGAAAGAAACTATGTGTACTCGAATAACCATCTGCAAATTTGAAAAATGCTTTAGATTTGTGTAACAAAAAAATGTGGAAAAATTATTTGTACTGACCCAGACCAATACACATAAACAGGGGCAGATCTACGGGGTCAGTCTAGATCCCGGCCCACCACAAATTAAAAAAAATATGGAGTAGTTAATTTTAAAAGGTAAAAGATCTCGCGTAATTTTTTCCCCATAAATATTCTTTGTTCACACAAACGCTACTGAATAAGAGCACGAGTTAAGATGATGACCTGGAAAGAAGAGAAGATGACAGGTTTCAAGTGATGAACGTCGTAAGTCGGGATAACAACGTTAGTGAGCGTTTGGTTAAGCTTGATGTCTCCAATCATGTTTTTGATCTTCGAATGCAAGTACACACCATCGTACATAGGATGGAAAGCCATCTTGTAAACGAACTCAATTAGGTGCCACACACTAAATCCTAGATTCTTGAACCATTCACCAATATCTAAATTCGGAAACGCAAACAACCTGCACATTGCATATGATCATTATTAACGTAAAACTTGTCACATTCATTAATTATGCATAAATTCACGGAGGTGTGAAGTAGTCTCTCCGTCCCAAATTGTTTTACAAAGTCAACATTTTTTGGTCAACTAATAAAAAAAGTCAATGCTCCATATTGGTAAAAAGTTCAATTTTTAACAATTAAAATTTATATATTCAGAAACTACATTAAAATATCTTCAAAGTTGAAAACTCCAAATTAGAATATAATTAAAAATTGACATCGTAATTAAGCAAATAAAATGAAACTGTTTGACCAAGAAAAGTCAAATTTGCAAATCAATTTGGGACGGATGTAGTAATAAAGTTAAATCAATCCATAACCATGATACGGACACCTTTATGAAAAAATGATGATGATTATAAAAAATAACAATGAGGAATTTGTTTGAAAAGTAAAGGACGACACGATTCAGATGAAGTGTCTAAGAGGAGTGTTGAAATCTGTAAAATTGTGAAATAATAAAGTGTTATATTAAAATTTGGACTACTCCTTCAAACAGATTGACTTCTTAGAATGAAACTGACGATCGTAATAGAGATATTTAATTAAATTTGTAATTTGTAATCCTTACGTCGTATTAGGTATGGTATTGGGACTATTGGCTTTGTCTACGGACGTTTGAAGTGGCGCTATATGAGGCCGGACCTGCTTGTAAAAGTCAGGGATATCTTCTGCCGAAAACTGAGGCAACTCAAAGCTGGGGCTTTGCTCAGAACTAGCACCGTTTGTGGTGACTAAGGATGTCGTCACAAAGCCTGTTTTTGCTTCGGATGTTTTTTTGAAGATACGAGGACACTCGTTCACATAGAATGCGGGAACATCGGCGGCGGAAAATAGAGGAAGGCCATTATCCCCAGGCGTGGTAAGCATTGCAGTCACAAGCCCCCCAGTGCTGGTTCCTGCTATCACATCAAAGTAGTCTGCTATCCTCGCATTTGGGTTGCCCTCAATTTTCTGTAAAAGACGTGTGGTATGGTTGAGATTTGTGCAAAGAAAAACGTTCGAGAAATAAATGGAATCATGATTGTTTTGATGGGAAAGTGACAAATTTTTAGTTAACCGATAAAAGAAAGTTGTCAAAATCCAATAAGACGGAGTATTGAATATTGAAGACAGTGTTAGCTTGGAGGTACTATACCTGGAGCTGAGCTTCAAGAAAAGCAAGAATGGTGCCTGGAATAATTCCCCTAACGCCGCCCCCATCTATGGCAAGAATGCTTATAACCTTTCCCTTTGGTTTCACTTGCACTAGTTCACTCATCATTTTCACTTGGAGTATATTATATTTTTCCAAAGGTGAATTGATGCTTGCCTGCTTCGGATCATTATATCATCTTCACTCCCTATTTATAGTGTTGAGTTCCTGTACATGTATGTGTGTCCATCATAATATATGCCGCATGCCTCACATAACCATGCATATAGCAATTATTCTTAATTAATTAAGAGAGGGTAGTTTTGTACTTTTATATGAAGTACGTAAAATGTTTTACTCATTTTTTGACTACTTTCTTTTTTCATACTCACAGTTTATTGGCTACGTATAAGATGGCAATATGTATCTACCTTTTTTTATACATCAAAGTATTGAAAAGGAGTTATATTAAAATGTGAAGGAATAATTGTCCTGAATAGGGGTGAAAAATAATGTTTATGAATTCGAAAATAGGACTACTATATTTTTATTTTTTGAATAATAGTAATTGCTGTCATATTTTGAAATTATTGAACTTTAAATATGACAATATTTTTTAAGCTTGATAGTAATCGTTCGTATTTTGAAATTTCAAAATGTTTTTACTACTATTTCTGAAATTTTCCTTTTAACGTGCATGGGGAACTAGCGAATTGAAATATCTTAGTAGTCAGAGGAAAAGAAAGCTAACAAAATATATATATTTATTACTTCGCAGTTCGCATATGATTAGAATATATATAAAATAATAATATAATACAGAGTAATATCTTAGCCTATCTAAAGCTTTATACTTGGTATATTTATTTTCTAAGCTATACTTGTCAATTTCTTATCATTGGTATAATTAATTACTCCGTATTTGTTATTAAAGTCTATTGCGTATTTGACTAGTTCGTTTTTGTTGTTGAAGACATGCATGCTTTTAGAATTAGTGTCAACAGCAAGAAAGTGTAGCATTCTTTAAAAAGAAACCGTGGAAAAGGTTTTAAAATTTGAGATAAAAAGTGAATAAAATTAAATGTAAAAAAGAAAAAGAAATTAAATTGGAGAAATATGTGTGATGGGTTTACATGCTCGATGATCACGGAATGAACACTCATCCCACGGGACAATAATTTGTGAAACATGGAGATACTTTAAAAATGACAATTAAAACTAATATTGTTTGCCTTCTTTAATATATTTGCGGTGTTTCGATATTCATATATTTTACATTGACTTAGTAATATTAAAAATAGGATCAATTTGTAAAATAAAATATGTTTTCCTACCAATAATAAATTAAATTTTATAATGATTAAATTGTGGGTCAATAAGTATAAAAATCAAATGTTGGAATAGAATAAAAACACAATAATGTACGTACTACGTATATAAGATAAGATAATACTCCGTACTAGTATTGAGTAAAAGTAATGAGCACCTTAGATGAAATGAATAGCAAAGATTCTTTTGTTTAACATGGTCCATATTTATATAATCAGATCATCCTCACGTCACAGTAATTCACTCGTACTTTCTACCGCAGGAATCTTTGCATGCTCCATACATATCTCTATAAAATATACTTTCTCACTCCACACCAAGTACATTATTTGCGTGCTTTTTTGCATTTTTTTTCAAATTGGGTAAACCTTTTATATTGATTAGCTTCACCGCTTTCACGTTCACCTTACCCTAGAAACCTAACTTTGGTTTGACCTTACGGGTTAGTATACACCGTTTGATCCTACCACTTGAAGGATTTTTGGAGGGAGCATAGTACCATTAGTGCTAGTGGGACTCGAACACGAGACCTGTCCTATGCAAGGGTAACCTCGCAACCAGCTAGTGCATTTTACCGGGGACAGAGCTCCACTCTCTATCTGTCAGATTGAGATTAGAGTCCAATATATCCTCCCAAAGTACCGTCCGCTCGGGGTTGGGGGCCCTCAAGCAGTGGCGGAACTAGGGGGAGCGAGCCGGTGCTGCCGCCCCCTGTTCGCCGGAGGTTTTAGTGTATATATATGTATATATACATGCTCAGCCCCGTCTCAATAATAATATGTACTAACTGACCCGTGTCTAACTCAATAGTTGGAGTAGCATAGATGGCTGAACAGTTTTAAAGTTGTAGGGAGACCCGGGTTCGATCCTTGCTCAGTCTCCTTTTTTAATTACTTACTCCATTACACTTCTTCCTCTACTTATCTCTTAACCTTTTGGAATGTTATTAGTTTTAATATTTTTCCTACCACATTTCTTTTACTTTTATGTTGCATTTTTATTTTTCAAATTCAAAATATTTACTCCGTATTTTTTACTTTTTCGAATATTAACATGTTATTTACATATTTGTTTAGTACAAGAACAACAAAAAATGACTTTTAGCTATTGCTTCCCCCCTTCAAACATTGACCTATATCATTTTATAAAAAGTATCAATAAACTTTTCAAAACTACTTGAATTTTATATTTATTCCTTGGGTTAGTACAAATATGCCAAAATTTCTTGTTGATATTTGAAATATCTGACTTTATATGAGTATAATTAGATTTAATACTTTTGCAAAAAATAAAATATCCTTTTAAAAAATAAATAACCTACTTGTAACGCTATTTGAAAAGAGAAAAAAATTATTATTTTCTTGATAAGTTAGTAACTTATATATATACTCCGTATGTTATTAATTTATCTTCCTCTACATGTTTAGCTATATTTCTATTTAAACCTTTTTATTCTAAAATAAAAGGGAAAGCGTATTAAATCGAAATAAACTCATTTAATAAATGTAGTCTATTATTTTGTTTAGGCACTAACAAATCAGTTATACAAATGAATAAATGTCGATATTTAAGTTGATGTGTATATGTATGTGTGCGCTTGTGTGTGAATTATATATAGTTACAAATAAAGTGTTACTTCATGCAAATGGAAATAATATTATATAGTAATTTGAGATCAAATTACCATAAATATACCCTAAAACGATACAGATTATGAATCTTCCCAACTAGTGGTTCAAATTTTTTTTAGCCCCTGCTCAAATTTTGTTCTGATTCCGCCACTGCCCTCAAGGATGGAGTGTCATTTTCTTTTTTGTGTGCTCTTTGCATTTATCTGTAAATCTGTAATGTAGAAAACATGCTATTTTCAAAATGAATGGAGAAATTATCAATTGCTTCTCCAAACTTGAACAAATAAAAAAGTAAGTATATTCCAAAAGAGTTTATAAAAGCTCACAAAGGCAATAAAGAGAAAGAAGCACCCCATCCTTAATGGTTTAAGATTTTGTTGTACAATTTATTACTTCTTCCGCTTCTTAATTAACTTTACACTTTCCTTTTTGGGTCGTCCCATATTAAACTTTACACTTCCTTATATATTTGCCTTATTTGGAAAACGATCGAATCTACACCAAACAATGCAAAACGGTGTCAAATAATGTCAATAAGTGTCAAACAATGCACTCTACAGTAAAATCAAATTTATTTGCTTAATATGTGTGAAGTCAAAGTGTAAACTTCATTAAGAACCGAAGGGAGTAGAATGTTAAACTAAACTACAATTACAATATATATACACGTAGTTAGTAGATGGTGATATATGCATTGGCAATTGGCATATCTGTGTGGGCTAACTCATGTATGGGTCACTCTATAGGATTAACTTAATTTTACGTAGTATCTATCAAGAACTGATCGATGTCTAACCTAAAAATGTCCGCACTAAAGAATCTTTGCATGCTCCTTGCATATCTCTATTAAATAAAGGACTAACTTTCTCACATGATAGGAGAATTGAAGTAGCCTACATCTCTATCATTAATTAATTTTTTTTATTCATCCGCTCGTCGTAATTATGAGCACCATAATTATGAATTGGTTCGACTCACATGCCATGTCAAGACCTGAGATTAATTACGTTCCAACTTAAAAGATCAACATGATAGGGAAGGAACTCTAGATATTATATACTATCTCCGTCTCATAAACGTTGATCAAATTTTCTTATTTAATTAGTCTACTAATAATAAACTTTGTCATTTCATTTAAAAGCAAAAAATATAGTTATATGGTTAATGTTGTTTTTTTCTCCTCTGATCTCTACAAACTCGTACACGTACTACACAATATTTTTATTAGAGATGAGGAATAATAATTTTACTACTTCATATTTCAACGGTGTTAGAAATATTTTAAGTATTTTACATAGCTTTGATAAATAAAGTTGGTGAGCAATTAAAAATGAAAATGGACTGTAATGTACCCCCGTGACATTTCCTTTTTTATGTAAAAAAAAAACCTCGTGACACTTCATATGAACACGTCGAAATGCAGTTTACTATGCCCTCGTGACAGTCCGTCACGAATATGACATATTCACATTCGTCTTGTTTCGCTCCGGCCATTACGTGGGAGACATTGTTGTACCTCCTCACATCTTTCCATATTTACTTCCTATCCTTTTTGTACTTTTTTTTACTTTTGATATGTTGAACTCGTGCTTTCATTATCGTCTATATTCGCAACAAGTACACCCACTACTACATTTTTAGACCTAATGTAACATTAGAGATGTAACATATCTATAATAGTGTTACTTATTTCTCTAATGTAACACTTTTTAGACCTAATGTAACACTTTCTAGAAGTATAAGTGTTACATTAGGTACTATAAAGTGTTAGAATAGGTCAAATGCAACACCATCAAATGTAATGGTAAAACAATGTTACATTTTCTCTGAAAAGTGTTACATTAGAGAAAATGTAACATTTTTTTACCATTACATTTGCTGGTGTTGCATTTGACCTATTGTAACACTTTATAGTACCTAATGTAACACTTATACTTCTAGAAAGTGTTACATTAGGTCTAAAAAGTGTTACATTAGAGAAATAGGTAACACTATTATAGATATGTTACATCATTAATGTTACATTAGGTCTAAAAATGTAGTAGTGACCCACATGTAAAAACTATTGGACACAATAGAGTTTTTTCCACTTTTAATCTTACGACTATTATGTCATTGACAATTTTGGTATTCGATTTTAATTTTTTCCATTTTAGTCCTTGACTATTGCGCTAAAGACACTTTTGGTACTCGTCTTTGAAAATTTTCATATTTAATCCTTCAACTTTCATAAAAGTGACAC